CAAAAAAAATGAAACTGGACCATCAATTTACACCATACACAAGAATAAACTCAAAATGGATAAAAGACTTAAATGTGACTCATGAATCCATAAAAATCCTAGAAGATAATGTAGGCAACAAATTTTCAGACATCATACACAGCAGAATATTCACTGATACATCACCTAAGGCAACAGAAACAAAGGAGAAAATGAACACATGGGACTACATCAAACTAAAAAGGCTTCTGCACAACAAAAGATACAATCATTAAAATGAAAAGGCAACACACTGTATGGGAGAGCATAATTGCCAATGATATATCAGATAATTTCCAATATATATAGAATGCTCATACAACTCAACAAAAGTGAGACAAAGAATCCAATTAAAAAATGGGCAGAGAAACTAAATAGACACCTCTCCAAAAAGGACATACAAATGGCCAGGAGACATATGAAGAAATGCTCAACATCACTATCAGAGAGATGCAAATTAAAACAATAATGTGGTATCACCTCACACCTGTCAGAATGGCCGCCATCAACAAATTATCAAACAGCAAGTGCTGGTGAGGGTGTGGAGAAAAGGGGACTCTAGTATACTACTGGTGACAATGCAGACTGGTGGAAAATGCCACTATGGAAAACAATATGGTGTTACCTAAAAAAATTAGAAATTGAACTTCCATTTGACCCAGTGATTCCACTTCTAGGAATATACCCTGAGAAGCCTGACACACCAATCAGAGAGAATATATATACCTCATGTTCGTAGCAGCACTATTTGCAATAGCTAAGATCTGGAAACAGCCCAAATGTCCATCAGTAGACAAATGGATACAAAAGCTGTGGTACATATACACAATGGAGTACTATGCAGCTGTAAGGAAGAAAGATCTCTTATCCTTTGAGATGACATGTAGGGAACTGGAAAGTATCATCCTAAGCGAAACAAGCCAAACAGAGAAAGACAAGTATCATATGGTCTCAGTTATTTGTGGAATATAATGAATATAACAGTCTGAGGAATGGTGTAGTCCCAGAGATGTGGAAATGGGAAACACACTCACAATACCCAGAAGAGGGGGTGGTGGGGGAGAGATAAACCATAGAACTTATATGCATGTATGGATGAACAATGGACATGGACAACAAAGCTGGGGACAGGGTGGGGAGGGAGGGGGAGGGAGGAATCAGTGGGGGAAAAAGGAGAAACATCTGTTACAAAAATAAATTAATTAATTAAAGAAAAAGACATAGGGTGGATAGGGTAGAGACTCTTCTCAGAACAAAAGACTCACACTAAATGAAAGTAAAAGGATGGAAAAGATTTTTCACACAAATGGAAATTAAAAAAAAAAAAAAAGCCTGGGGTAGCAATACTCACGTGACAAAAGACTTCAAATTGAACACCATAACGAGAGTCTGTGAAGATCACTACATAATACTAAAAGGATCATATTAACAAGAAAATGCAACCCCATCAAAAAAACTACTAGATTCAATAAGTTAATTCATCAGTATAGCAGGATACAAAATTAACACCCAGAAATCGATGGCATTTTTATACACCAGTAATGAACTATCAGAAAGATAAACTAAAAAAAATTTCATTTATCTTTGCAATAAAAAAATTAACATTATTAGGAATAAACTAAACCAAGGAGGTATAATACTTGTACTCTGAAAACTACAAGACATTGAAAAAAAAAAGATAGAAGAAAATATAAACAGGTGGAAGACTATATTATGTTCATGGATTGAAATAATTAGCATAATAAAAAAGTCCAGCCCCACTGGTGTGGCTCAGTGGATTGAGCATCAACCCATGGAATGAGAGTTCCTGGTTCAATTCCCGGTCAGGGCACATGCCCAGGATGTAGGCTCAATCCCCAATAGAGGGTGTGCAGGATGCAGCCGATCAATGTATCTTTCTCACATCCATGTTTCTGTCTTTCTCTCCCTTCCTCTCTCTCTAAAATATCAGTTAAAAAAACATATTTAAAAACAAAGATAATAAGCCTGATTTAAAAAAATGTCCATACTACCCAAAGCAATCTATAGATTCAATGCAATCCCTATTAAAATGCCATCAGCATATTTCACAGATCTAGAACAAATACTTCAAAAGTTTATATGGAACCAAAACAGACTTCAAATAGCCACAGCAATCTTGAAAAAGAAGAACAAAGTAGGAGGGATCACAATACCAGATATCAGGTTATACTTATAGTAATAAAAATAGCCTGATACTGGCACAAGAACACGCATACAGATCAATGGGACAAAAGAGGGAACCAAGAAATCAACTCAAGCCATTATGCTCAATTAATATTTGACAAAGGAGGCAAGAGCATACAATGGAATAAAGACAGTCTCTTCAATAAATGGTGCTGAAAAAACTGGACAGATACATGCAACAAAATGACACTAGACTACCAACTTATACCATACATAAGAATAAACTCAAAATGGTTAAAAGACCTCAATGTAAGTCGTGAAACCATAAAAATTCTAGAAGAAAACGTAGGCAGCAAAATTTTAGACATCTCACGTGGCAGAATTTTTTTGCCTAGGGTAAGAGAAACAAAGGAAAACAAACAAATGGGAATACATCAAACTTAAAAACTTCTAAAGAGCAAAAGAAACCAACATCAATATGAAAAGAAACCTCACTATTTGGGAGAACATATTTGCCACGGATACACTGGATAAGGGGTTAATTTCCAAAATATATAGAGTGCTCATACAACTCAACAAAAGGAAGACAAAAAAATCTAATTTAAAAATGGGCAGAGGACCTGAATAGAGAGTTCTCCAAAGAGGACATAGAAATAGCCAAGAGACATATGAAAAAATGCTCGGTGTCACTAATCACCAGAGAACTGCAAATTAAAACAATGAGCTACCACCTTACACCTGGCAGAATGGCTACCATAAATAAATCAGCAAACAAAATTGCTGGCGAGGATGTGGAGAAAAGGAACCCTAGTACACTGCAGGTAGGAATGCCGACTGGGTCTGTCAGTATGGAAAACAGTATGGTGTTTCCTCAAAAAACTAAAAATGGAACTGCCATTTGACACAGTGATCCCTCTTTTCAGAATATATCCTAAGAATCCTAAAACACCAACCAGAAAGAATATATGCACCCCTGTGTTTGTAGCAGCATTATTTACAATAGCTACGATCTGGAAACAGCCCAAGAGCCCATTAGTGGAGTGCTATGCAGCTGTAAAAAAGAAAGATCTCTTACCCTTTGATACCATGGAGGGAACTGGAGATGTTTATGCTAAGTGAAATAAGCCAGTCAGAGAAAGACAAATATCACATGATCTCACTTCTATGTGGTATCTAATGAACAAAATAAACTGATGAATAAAATAAAACCAGAAACATGGAAACATGGAACAGACTGTGAATCTCAGAGGGAAGGGGGTCAGGGGTAGGTGGAAGGAGATTAACTAAAGAATTTATATGAATATATGCATTGCCCATGGCCATGGACAATAACTTGGTGAAGAAGGCCTCAGGCAGGGTGTGAACCAGGTGAAGAGGGTCAACAGGGGAAAATAAGGGGGGAAATCTGCAATACTCCCAACAATAAAGATTTAATTAATTAATTAATTAATTAATTTTAAAAAAGGGGTTGGCAGCTGGTTTTCTGGGTATTTCATTAAGATACTCAGATTGGGATAAGTGAAAATATAAGTAAGTATTTTTCTGTTAACAAATTGACAGAAACGATAATGAAATAACTTGATCTTCCTTCTAAAGACTTAATTACAATCCTTAAATGCATCACCCAGCTCAGAGTAGTTAATTGATCTTACCCATATGTTAACTAAAATAAAGCACTCATATTGTTACCAAACCACTTGTATGCAGGGCGCTTGCCCTGCCCCAGCATGGTCAGGGACCTTTGCAAATCAAGCAACCTACAGGTTCTTGACTCATTAAGGAAAAATTTCAAGACACAAGTTCTCAGTAAAATATGAAAGTGACAGTAAATATATTAAAGCTTGGGACAGTGATTGCAAGGAAAGGACCCCTGGAGATAGGATTAGGGATAAACCTGGGAGGAGCTGCTGCTGCCCATTACTCTCCTGAGTGCAGGTCTTGTTGGGACCTTCAGAGTTTGGGATAGAAGAAGTAAAGTGCATGCCTGAGGAAAGGCGGTGTGAACATGCTCAAGGAAGAGCACGCTGGCATACTTTGTCCTCAGTGTTGCATCTATTGTCTTTTCCGTTTGTTTGTTTGTTTAATCCTCACCAGTGGACACCTTTTCATTTATCTTCAGATAGAGCAGGAGGGAGAGAGGAAGGAGAGAGAGAGAAACATCCATGTGAAAGAGACACATCGACTGGTTGCCACACACGTCCCCAACCGGAGCCAGGGACAAACTGCAACTGAGGTACGTGTCCTTAGCAGGAACCGAACCTGGGACTCTATGGTCCGCAGGCTGACGCTCTAACCGCTGAGCTAAACCAGCCAGGGCTGTTTTATCTATTTTAGGGGAGGATCTCAACAAAACATTCATTAGATTTCTGGGTGTGTTGTTTAGTATGCTGATGTATTAAAATGAGGGTGTACTGGGACTGGGGTCATTTTCTAGTTAGCTTTCCCTTTCCCTTTCCCTAATCTAATTAGTCTGGCTAAATTGTTTTTTGTTATCTCCTCCCTGACTATGGTGATTTAACCCATCTGCTCTTAGGCATCTTCAATTAGGGAGATGGAGTCTTATGGTTTATTGCTGAGACATTCTGGTGGTTTGTTCAGCCATTTGTCTGTTTGTTCAGCTATTTGTCTTACTTTCATCATTCCACTTGCCATGGAATTTTCCCAGTTTCTTACTAACCTGCCTCAATATGATGAACAATTAATTGTCAATAGTTATAAAAGCTGTCATATTTTAAACGTATGTATGCTGACATTGGTATTATACAAGAGTATATGCACTATTTTGTGGAAACAATTCATTAAATATTAACAAGATATTCACTTTTCTTTTCCTACAGAAAGCCAGACTTGCTAGGATACGGGCAGCCAAAACTGGAAGTGCAAATGCTTACATGCAAAGTAAACGGAATGGTTTACTCAGTAATCAACTACAGGTACAGTCAAGCATCTCACTTTTTTTATGCTTGATTTATTGATATAATATTCATTTATTTTTACTTAGCCATATAATTTTATTGTGGGTAATTATGAAAATAGCTACTGAAACAATGAAAATGTCATTTTTTAAAATAATTTCTCTTTATATAGTCTTATTGACAGTAACAGATAAGAAATTGGGCTATGAAATATTGCCAGTGAATCATGATTCTCCTTTGTGATTGGATAAGATTTTTATATACTCTGATGTAAACACAATGTGATATTGTGATTTCTAACAAGAATATATATATTTGTTCTTCTTCCTGTTCTTGGCACTGAGCTTCTAAGTACCTGGAATTTCCTAAGGGAAGAGAGTTTAAAGGATGTTTTTTGGCATGTTAATAAGGTGACTTCTGTGCTTCACCTAAAGTTGGGGGCTAGTTGCCAGGTAAACCAACTAAGTGATTGGGGGGATGGAACTTTCAATCCTACCCTATTCCCCAACATGCTAGAAATGAAGAGGGGTTACAGGTTAAGTTCAATCACCAATGGCCAATGACTTATTTAATAAATCATGCCTAGGTAATGAACCTCCATAAAAACTCAAAAGAAGGGAGTTTGGAGAGCTTCCTGGTTAGTGAACAGGTGAAGATTTTATTGCCAGTGGAAATGGGGTCCTTTCACAAAGTCATAAGAATGCATTTCTGAGGACACACATTTGGGTTAATGAGATGTAGGGGTAAGATTTATTGGAATATAAGTAGAAGGCTGTCCCAGTTTCCCAGTGTCTCTTCTCCATTCATTCCACTGTGGGGAAAGTTCAGCCTTGTCTTCATCAAGCCCAGAAGAAAGGCCGGGGTCCCAAAATTTTGTGCCATTGGTTGAGGCCATGTCAAAGCTTAGTCCAGCTTAGCCTTTGTTCCTGTCTGGCTAATATAGCCTCTCATCCTGGCCATGCTTCAGCTGGTGCTGTTATTGTATCCAGGCTTGCACTTGGAGCCCACACTTGGAGCTCACCTGGCTGCTGGGCTTCAGGTGGCTGCTATGGAGAGAGAATGTGTGAGCACATGAATCCATGAATGTGTGTTACCAGGCAAAAAAGGGAGAGGGAAAGAGAAAGAGAGAGAGAGAGCTTGCCTTTGTTAAGCTTGGATTATATTATCTCAGGCTTGGGAAGGACCAGGAGCTCTTTCAAAATAACCAATCAATTTCCTAACCCTTCCTGGGCTTGTGCTGGGTCCTCCCCCTAACCAATCCATTTCATAGATCTTCTGGGTTTCTCTGTCCCTATCCAGTTCAATTCTTTGCTCCTCATGATTGCCATCTTAGTTTCTACTGGGCATGCCTCAAGTAGAAGGACCTCCCCAGTACTATCTTGATTTCTACTGAGTATGCGCCCAGCAGAGGATTTTCCCCTTTATTGGTTTACTCCTCCCCAACCCTTAGTCTGAGCAAGTGGCTGGTTGTTCCCTGGGAAGATTGGAATGCTGGTCCTTCCCAACATAGGAAAGGGAGGAGTGTTAAACCCTTTTGTGAGGCAGTGCTATGATCCCCTGAGATGTCTGAAGCTGTCACTTCCAGACTTAATCAGATTTATTATCTGAGTCAGATCCCTAGTTAATTAAGCTTCTTAATATCTGATACCCTTTGCTCTCTTCCTTTATTAATATCTAGCTACCTATGCTAACAATTAGAGAGAGTGGCACACTCAGAGAGTAGGGAAGCCTCTCACCCCTTTCACATGCATTGCCTATGCATCTCTTCCATTTGGCTGTTCCTAAGTCATATTATATCCTTTTATAATAAGCCATTGACCTAGTAAGTAAAATGTTTCTCTGAGTTCTATAAGGTGCTCTAGCAAACTAATCAAACTCGAGGTATAGTTTGTGGGAATCTCTGATTTGTAGCCAGTTGGTCAGAAGCTCAGGTAACTATTACACTTGCAATTGGCACCTAAAGTTCAAGGAGGGGGTCACTAGAACCCCCAATGTATAGCCAGGTGGTCAGAAGCACGGGTGATAATTTAACATTGCAACTGAAATCTGAAGTTGGTGAAGAGAGCAGTCTTGCAAGACTGAGCCCTCAACTTGTGTAATACAATGCTGTCTCCAGGTAGATAGTGTCTAAATTGAGTTGAATTGTAGGACACGTGATAGTGTCTAGAGCAGCAGTTCTCAACCTGTGGGTCGTGACCCCTTTGGCGATCGAACGACCCTTTCACAGGGGTCGCCTAAGACATAACAGTAGCAAAATTACAGTTATGAAGTAGCAACAAAAATAATTTTATGGTTGGGGGTCACCACAACATGAGGAACTGTATTAAAGGGTCGTGGCATTAGGAAGGTTGAGAACCACTGGTCTAGAGCATGTCATTGCTTGATGGTGTTGGGGGTAAACCCCACCACTTTAGAGTTGGGTTTAGAACCCATTTTACATGGGAAAGGTAAAAAATGCTCAATGACTCAAATACCTAATTATGTTTTATTTCAAGATTACTTATGTTCCTTAAAGTTCATTTGAGTGGGAGTAGGGGATGACATTATGTCTTGTTTTATTTTTTAATGAAGAGGGAGCACTGTTTAGTGTTTTAAAAGTCACATAGTATAAAATGCAATTTGAGAAACCACTTTTAGCTCAAAACTTTCCTTTAATATTTAGGATTTTAATCATCTTTACTTACAAAATAGATTTTATTTAGGTGAGCATAATACCATTTTCAGAATTATCTAAGTATAACATTAAATTTTATTATCCAAAAATAATGGCTGTCAGGCTTTCAAAGGTAGTTGGTAGTTGAATATGCATAAGAGATTTAAAATTTCTATTCATGGAGGCAAGTCTAAAAGATAAGGTGCTAATTTGAAAAAAAAAATGTAAATAATGACTATCAAACTTAAAAACAACAGCTTGGTTGTCCCTTTCTAGCTAAAAATAATAATAAAATGCTGCCATTTAATCTCAGGAAATAGGCCAGATCTCTCTGTGGAAATGTGTAGTTGAGGTTCTCATTGTTTGCAAATAAAATAGAAAACACTTTTGTCTTCTCTGTGTTCACAGTCCTCTGAGGATGAGCAGACCTTTGTCAGCAAATCGGGCTCCAGCTTTGAAACCCAGCACCACCACCTGCTTCACTGCCTGGAAAAAACCACAGTAAGGAACCAGCGTGACTGCCTGCCCTAGTCCTCCCAGTAATCCCATTTGCTTTTGTGAACACTCAGTCCTTCCAGGCAGGATCACACTGTCTGCATTACTGGAAAATATACTAAAAGACAAAAAAATAAAAACACAATATTTGAAATTAGTTTGAAAGACTATTGTGACATTTCAATTTGGAAAGTATTTTAGAGACATTAAAATGTTTGTATCCTTGGTTGTTATCCTCACTCTAGTGTAAAATACTAGTTTAACGCAGATGTAAAGTTGTTTTCCAACAGCCAACTACAAGTCTTATAAAATATTATTTCACCCTGATTCTTAAAATGTTGATTAAACAGAAAAAAAATGTATTGAAGTTCAAGTGTTCCTGACATCTGGATGAAGGGAATATCAAGAGCAATAATGAAAAATAAAGAATGACTGAATATAAGCATTTCCTTCATTCATAGGTATAATCAATACAGATAGATAGTAACACTACAAGTTCTCCTAAGAAAAAATGGTATTTAATCAATACCCCTTTAGCTGAGGATTGAGTATACATTTCCCCATTTATAGCCTCTGGTAGGAACTCCTCTTTAGAAAACTCACCTATTCTCTAGCTAGCTTGTCAAAAGAGGTCACAATCTGTGACCACAGAGCAGAACAAAACCTGTACCATATTTTGATCAAGTCTTCTCACTCACCATTGATGCATATTTGTATTCTCAATTCCAAATATTGTCCATACATTTATTCATTTAGTTTTATTTAACTATATAATCATTCAACAAATATGTATTACTTGCCTTCTAAGTGCCAGTGAGCTGAGACCTTAGATATGCCAGGAAGTCAGGTGTGGTCTCTGTTCCTGTCAACTTCTGTATGTGGGAAACAACACGGATATTACTAGGGAAGGGCAATGAGCAGCAAAGCAACAATGGACCACAGTGGATGGGGCAGAGGGTGGAGCCAAAGGGTACAGGATCAAGCAAGTCTTTCTGGAGGAACCTGAGGTAAAATCCACAGGATGACTAAGAGCTAGTTAGGCAAAGAAATAAAGGGGCTGAGGAATGTAGAACTTGGTCTAAGGACTTGGCGGGTAGTAGCACAAGAGGAGACAGAGAAAGGCAGTGGCTAGATAACGCGAGGTTTTTGAGGCATGTGAAAAATGTTGATCTTCGCCTCAAGTGGAAAATTATTTGAGGCTTTAAACAAGAAAGTTACAGGATTGTAGCTGATTTTAAATAAAAATGTGGACAGGTCTATAACTTACTAGAATAACTCTGAAATTTAAATAACATTAATAATATAATATATTATTTTTGCCTATCTTTTCCTTTCATTTTATTATTATTATTTTTTTTTTTGCTATTTTATCATTTAGGGCTTTTTAAATAAAAAATATTTAATACCAATCAATAAAGTTTAAATTGAGCTGCCTACAAAAATATATGGTAATCTGCAGCAGATGACTTCTTCACTTCAGTCACTGAGGAGATAAGTTAGAATCTCATGTGTTATAACTTGTACTATGTGTGAGAAATGTGCGTTGAAAGAGAAGACAACAGTGTGAATCTCAGTGAATTATTTTTTTCTATAAAATTTAATATTTAACACAAAATTCTATCTTATCTGAACATATTTTCTCTGGACTTTTATCTGTAGAATGTTAAATTTCATTTACTTCCAAATGCTTTTCTCAGCAAAGAAATGACAAAATGAGTAACTAAAACAATCTATTTCCTATTAGCCAGTGAATTGCTTCAGTTGTTTTGCTAATGTTTAAGATGAGAGATAGTTAAGTGGAATTCTGCACTTGCAAAGTCTCCCATTATATGACTATTCCAACCAACACAAAAGAAAAATAGTAAAAAAGTCATTTAGTAGCTCAGACCAAAAATGTTTTCCCTTATATTACTGAGATAACAGTCTTCCATAAGCACTGTAGGAGACAATTTTTTTATTAAATATATATATATTTAAATTATTTCTATTAATTTGTTTTTGTTACAGATGTTTTTCCTTTTTCCCCCATTGACACCCTCCTCCCCGTCTCCCCCACCCCATCCCCAGCTTTGTTGTCTATGTCCTTTGGTTATGCATACATGCATATAAGTTTTGTGGTTCATCTCTCTCCCCCAACACCCCTTCTTTTGAGGTTTGTCAGTCTGTAACCTACCTTTATGTCTCTGGGTCAATTTTTTTCATCAGTTTGTTTAGTTCATTATATTCCACAAATAAGTGATGTCATGTGATATTTGTCTTTCTCTGCTTGGTTTGTTTCACTTAGCATAACACTCTCCAGGTCCCTCCATATCATCTCAAAGGATAAAAGATCTTTCTTTCTTATAGCTGCATAATATTCCATTTTGTGCATGTACCATAGCTATTTTATCACTCATTTACTGATGGACACTTGGGCTGTTTCCAGATCTTAGCTATTGTAAATAGTGCTGCTATGAACATAGAGGTACATATATTCTTTCTGAATGGTGTTTCAGGCTTCTTCATCAGAGAGATGCAAATTAAAACAACTATGAGGTATCACTTCAAACCTGTCAGAATGGCCGCCATCAACAAATCATCAAACAAGTGTTGGCGAGGGTGTGGAGAAAAGGGGACTCTAGTACACTGCTAGTGGGACTGCAGACTGGTGGAAAATGCCACTATGGAAAACAATATGGTGTTTCCTCAAAAAGTTAAAAATTGAACTGCCATTTGACCCAGTGATCCCACTTATTAAATATTTTTTAAGCAAATTTTACATTGTGTTTCTCTAAAATGTAGTATATGAAATGATGTCCATCACTACTTACTTCTTGGCTAGAAGAACTCTAAATACAGGTAGAGAATCTGAATATACCTAGTGATATATCACAAAGATAAGAAAGGAGACCTGAAAAGTTCAGTGCTAACCCCTTCTGAGTCAAACATAAAGTGATACACTTTGCAGATAAATATATTGTACTTATTTAACTAATAAGTCATATTTTTCTCTCTACTGAGAGAAATGGGAAGTGTCCTGGGTGCTTTATTTTCTAATTTAAAAATGTTTTAAATTCCATGTGAAAATATTTGCTTTTATATAACAGACAATCTAACTTGGATTAAAATAATCTTCCCCATAATTTCAATCTGTTTAAAAATAAGTCAATGTGAATTTACATATTTTTAAGTATTATCTATATTCATTTTCAAGTTTTTTCCTTCAGTTTATAACTTCCAGTTTTGATGTTTAAATTAAAAAATGATATTTCAAGATAAAGTTAGTCTACAAATAGATACTAAATCAGCCTTCATGTGTCAATCTCAAGGTCTAACAAGAGAGATTTTATTTTTCCATAAATGCCAGTATTAGGTGGCTTTGATATTTTAATCTTTATGAAAATGTTACTAGTTACCCATCGAATAGTATAAATGTATGTGGATATTTTTATGTTTTAAAAATAAAGCTATTCATTTTCATTTTTAAAGTTAAAAAGTGTGTTTCTGTTTTTCTTCGCATTTTTCTACACCTATGGAACAGAATCATGAGTTTGTGGATGAACAAGTCTTTGAAGAAAGTTGCATGGAGGTTTCAACTGTTAATCGTCCTTCAAGTCACAGTCCCTCTCTGTCTTCACAACAAGGAGTCACCAGCACTTGCTGTTCAAGACGACACAAAAAAACTTTCCGCATCCCAAATGCCAATGTATCAGGAAGCCATCGAGGCAGTGTGCAAGAACTCAGTACGATTCAGATCAGATGTGTGGAGAGAAACCCACTATCTAACAGGTACATTAATCTGTGTGGACACACACCCGTGCTGGTTCCCCGAGCACATCTTCACCTGCAGTTTCATTGCTACATGTGTGGCATCTAAATTCTAGTTTCTAGAGTTTAGAATGTGACAAAACTTAGACTGTAACAAGTAGGAGAATGGATCTACTGTAATATTCATTAAGAGTCATAAGAGTAATTGAAGCAATATTAAAAGATCTGAAGGAAGATAAGGCAGTCAGGCAACCACAAATGCATTTCTACTGCTTCATTCCCACAGCTGTTTCATATGCCCAGGAACACACAAATAGCCTGAAATGATAGTCAACACTACTAAAAGAGACAAATGAAATTGACATTGATATGATTAAAAAGTATTCAACAGCATATATAAATAAATCAACAGAGTCAATGTGACAGTGATAAATGAAACTATGCCTACACAAATATTTTGAATCAATATACAATTTTGACTAAAAAAGTATTTTGGCCACAATAAATACAAAAATCAATCCAATTCAAAGAAAGATAAGCGAAATGCTAAAATCGTTTACCTCCAGTGAGTTTATGGACAAGTGAGCTTCTGTTGCTGTTTTCCCTTTGCTTCTCTCTATTTGCTTGTTTTTACTAGTCATTAAAAGGACCAATTTTTTCCAAATAATTTTTACTTTGTTTTTCAAATAAAATAGCTTTTATTTTTAGTTTAACAACCATTAATTCAGTGCTACTTCTTTGTTGGCATCCAACAATCTTTGTGGAAAATCTGGATGAGATTCTGAATTCAAACTATGTTGATTTACATAAATTATGTATCTGTGGGAGCAGAATATTAAATGCTGGAGCAATGAAAAATGTCTGTCTCAGAGACATTTTACCACTTCGAAGTAGAAAATTGAGAAGTGTTTGGAAAGAAAATTTTAGTACATAAACATTAAATTAATTTTCTATGAAAGTAAAATAGTTTGAAGTTACTATGTATCTCCTCCTTTCTTCTTTTCCCTGGACCACATGCAAGAACACCACTTGGGAAAGCCCTTAACTATTAGTAATGGCTAACGTTTGGGTTTCTTAACATTTGGTTGTCACTAAGTTGAGAGCTTTAAGGACACTCTATCCCCCAAAGAGACAAGATAGTAAAATGACTCTGTGGTCAAAGATTTGAGGCATATCTACAGGAAATATCCCTTTGATAATGGTATCTCAAACCTCTCAGAGGTTCTATTTAAAGAAAACTATTTTGCTCAGCCCTGTGTTTCAAAAATGTATCTGATCCTCTTTCTCACAATTTTATGCAACACTTTGAAAAACACTGATGAAATCAAATTTAGCCGGTTTTTACACATCTATTTACAATTTAGGACCTGACTAATGTTCACTTTAATATATAGGATGGGGTAAATGTAGGTTTACAGTTGTGAGTATGTGAAACACAGAGATTATTCTTGTATTATTATTTATTAATTATTGTATTATTTTTCATAAAAACAACTGTAAAGTTACTTGTGCCCACCTGTATATTAAGGTTTGGTGCTCCCTTTTTAAAATTATGTTAATTGTTCTTAGACATTTAAGCTATTATTTATAAGTGTGACACCTGCATACTTTCGTTGTAGGAGAAAAAAAATTTTAAGTAAACAACTTACCTTCTTAAATCTATTTTTTCCCTCATCAGCCGTTCCAGTTTAAATGCCAAAATGGAAGAGTGTGTTAAACTAAACTGTGAACAACCTTATGTGACTACAGCAATAATAAGCATCCCAACACCTCCAGTAACCACTCCTGAAGGAGATGACAGGCCAGAATCTCCGGAATACTCAGGAGGAAACATTGTCAGAGTGTCTGCTTTGTAAGGCAACCAGAATCAGGTCTAGGAGAATTTGAGCCCTGGCTGTGGAAAGAATACCAATGTGGAAGAAAGAAGAAAAAATAAATGTTTTTCAGATGAAAATGGCAAAGTAAGAAGGTTGGTAGTAAAACAAAAATAAAGCTTCCAAACTAGAGGATGGAAATAAAACCACCAAATGGCATTTCTTTAGAGTTTGACCTGATGTACAGAGGAATAGTCTGTGGCCCTTGAGCTTTGTGAATGAGCACAACGAAATGCCGCCTATTGATGCTTCTTATGACCAGAACTCTTTTTTAATAAAATAAAATAAATCTTTGAACCTAATGTTACAGTTGAATGCAAAACAAACAAAAAAAAATATGGAAAACATTTTGATAAAAATTTTTCCTGTTAAAACCATGAACATTGGCTATGATGAAGATTATTGCATATTAAAAAACTCATGCAACATATTTGTATTGACTGAAGGAAACCATCATAATGCATGCTAGAATTCTTTGGAGTAGTGATCTCAGTTTCCTTATGTTGTCTTCAGACTAGGCATGATAAACTATAAATGTAGAAAGGGGGAATTTCTGTGCACTTACAACAAGCTGATCGTTCATGTTCTATGGTGGGCTGTGCAAATAAACTCCTTTTGGGACTGCAGCATTTCTCATGGGGATGCTCAATAGTAAATCTAAAATGTTCAGTTAGTTCAGTATTAATTATAATTTTACCTTGCACCTAGATAATGTTACAACTGCAATAATTCATTGTGCACCTGTTGTACCAGGAATCAGGATTTTGTTGTTATATTTTCCAGATCTTCATAATTTCTGTAAGAGCCACATTCATAGAAAAACTTCTAGTGTGGTTAGGTTTTAGATAATGTTTTAATCCAAAACTTTTGTGTCATAAATGTTTTTCAGTAATATTCTTTGGTGCAATGTATTCCTGTGACTGTTCATTTCTTGTTCCTGTTTTTCTATAGCACGTTTATATTGGGTTTATTGTCATCAACTGGACTAATGCTCTGTAGTTCAATTGACTTACCTACATCTGTATTTCCCAACAAATCCTCTTGTAAGTAGATTATCATCATCAATCCCCTTGTCAAAAATTAGAAAAAAAGGAGTTGACATCCATGAATTATCTCTAACCTCTTTGCTGTCATGGAAAAGCCCACACATTAGATATACCACTGTATGTTCCATAAAAAGAATTGGCTGGACTATTATCACAGGATCAGTGATCCCAGAATTTCACTTGACATATTATTTATTTTGCTTTAGATCTCAAATAAATATAAAATAACTAATAGGAATTGAAAGGCAGAGATAAACCAAGTGCTTTATGTAACAGTATTTGATGAAAGCACGCTTTCCATGCTGTTGGAAAGGCAGCACAAATCAATCTCAGAAAGATTTCTGTGTATTGCAAGGAACAATTTTCTCCACTAAATCAGGAGAACAGGTGTTTGGTGATGCAAAGTTGAACTCTATGTACATTTAAGTGAAAAGTCTCGATAATGTTTCACCTTTAAAATATATCAGCAGATATGTCTGCACGTGACAGTGTAAAAATGTTTTATGTCAGATGAAAAGTTTTGTTCATTCCAAGCCACCAGTGTAAGAAATAAGGTTTAGCTTTGATACAGAGAAAGAGTTAATAATTATCCCTCTACTATAGAGATTTTTAAATGCTTATTATAATTTATCATAAAAATTAATTAATCCAACTATTTTCAAGTAAAGCCAGAAATTCTTGCTTCCCATTTCTAGAATTGCTTCTAGAACAATGCTGTGCACACAGTAGATTTTAATAAACATTTGCTGAGTGAAAGGAAGATAAATTCTTCTTTCTCTTGAGAAGAACTGGCTATATTTCTAGTATGTCTTTAAAAAGTTACTAACCTTCCTGGAGTGTGAATATTAACAATTATATTAACACATGCCTCATGTCACTTTATGCTTCTAGAGTAAATATACAGTAAAAGTTCTTTGATGGCATTTGTTGAAAAATTTTTTAAAAAGTAGACTAAAGAAACCACAATCAGGAGTGCTTACATCTTTTGATTCCCAATGAGAATTCTATTTTCATGTTCTGAATATTACATTTTTAAAATGCAATTCAGTTAGATTATTTCAGTTAAAAATTCTGCCTCCTTTTCAACTTATCATATATCCAAAACTATTATTTTGTTTAGATTTTTGGAAGAAAAAAAAAAAAATTGGTGTTTTAGGTGATTTAAAAGTGTACTGTGTTGGTGGTGAATGACTATTGATGACTGTGTTAAGTGCATCTGTATTGTAAGTGAAATGTAATTATTTCTGTGTACCATATGGAGTAACCAAGGTCATTGTTTTGGACAATTTTGTTTGAAATTTATATATCTTATTTTAAAAGGTAGCATAATATCTGCATTATGCTGGAAAAAAATAGGCCTCTGGAGAATACTTAAATAAACATGTGCATGCTTGAACAGGATTACACAGTTGGTTGGCTGTTGCTCTTTTCCTTAGACTTTCTTCTCTTCCAAATCTAGGATGTGTCACATTCCTAATACATATCTGGGAGTACTCTGTAACAGATCAAATGAACCGATCACTTTTAACAGTTAAATCTAGTCTACATCAGCGGAGATGGTAGTTCTGCCAACAATGGGAAATTAGGCAGAGATTTTAAGAGAAATGTTAATATCATTTAAAGATTTTAAAAAAGTGTCACTGCTTTAAATGGTTATTTTTGGACAAATCTTGGCAATTCCAACTCCATAGCTATTAATTAAGATAATTTAAGTACATTGCAAGATTTTATTAGTCATTAAAAAAGATGTAGTATGGGTAAAATCAGTTGTTTTTATATATGATACTTTCAAGTAGAGTGCTCTCTCACTGTGTGACCCACAGTTTATTAGCCTTCACCCTACATGCCACTTACTTCTTGCACAGTGCGGACCGGAGAGAAGGCTGCTGCCTGAACCTTATAACCTTCTTCACCATCACTTCTTGAGTTAAGCAAAGAGACATTTTGAGGTAATAACTTCAGTCAGAACTCAATAGATTCTTAGTCAAAGACTATTTTCTACCTAAGGAAATAGCCAGGGTGATTTATTTGTCTAGGGGAGTGTGTGTGTGTGTGTGTGTGTGTGTGCGTGTGTGTGTGTTTATACACATATTCATAGATTTTTATTCATTGTTTTTATAAGCACATACTTGATGGTTGACAGTTTCTGTTCAGTAGGGGACAAAAAGTAAGACAACGTTAAGAGATTACTAGAAGAATGAAACAGAGCAAATCATTTAGCACAGAGAGTGGTTTTAACTAGTGATCCCCCTGCTGGATAGTCTCTGTATTTTTTCTTATTAATGATTTTTCTTTATAGGCCTTGAATTATTGAGATGTCGATCATGCATTAAAAAGGTTCAATACACCTCCCTATTTCTTCAGCTTAGTTACAAATGTGGACTTCGAAATAGCCTCCAGGGAGTTATATCAATGTCTGCCAGCAACAATGCTCAAATGAATAAAAAAGGCTCTTGATATCAAATAAATGACTCCTCAGAGTTTCATAAGAAAGTCATCTCATCTTCCTAGGGTGTTATTAGGTGTTTATTTTATTAACTCACAGTTACAAAAAGGGTTATTGCTTTGTACAGTATAAACTTCACCGGAATTTACAACACAGTTGTGCCGATACTCTATTTCTTTGAAAAAATAAATGTAAATTTCTTTTTGCCTGAGCTAGTTGTATTTAAGGTAGTAAAACATTCTTTAAAAGGAAGGATATTTTACTTGAAAGAACTTTTTACTTTTTTTGGAATTATTACTTTTGAATAGCACATTTGCTTAAGATAATTATATATTTATTGCAAAGAGTTTTCAGTGTAAACAATATTACATCCATCTTGTAACTTCTAACCGTTTGCTCTTTACTGCTTGCTTTACTTTTTTCTTTTTTTCTCTAGAGCATGATTAATTATTCTATTAGGTTATTCTCCCTCTTTCCTTAATCAATTTTTCCCCTTGTTTTTCTATGGAAATCCACTAGATGACTATTGTTTATTCTACATATAACTCAAATCCTTGAGAATAGAGGATATGCCAGACATTGCATTAGCTGCTAGAAAAATAGAGACTAAGATTCCAGACCAAATTCTCCTCAGGCAGTTATATAAGGAAAATAGTTTAGAGTACTCTGTGCTTCACCCTGCTATTCATACTCTTACACCAAAAATATTCTTCTTTCTGCATATTGACAGTCATTTTACTGCTTTAATCTCCTGAAGACACCTCCTCAACAGAGACAGCATCAAGATAGTGTTCTTCAGCCCTGGACAGTTTTCTCAGTGGTTAGAGCATCGGCCCCAGGACCAGAGAGTCATAGGTTTGATTCCAGTCAAGGGCAAGTACCTGGGTTGTGGTTAGGTCCCCAGTCCTGGTAAGGGTCATGTTGGAGGCAACCCATAGATGTGTCTCTCTCACATTGTTGTTTCCCTCTCCCTCTCTCTCGCTCTCTCCATCCCTCCCCCCCTCCGACTCTGTCTGAAGATAAATGGAAAAATATCCTCAGAGGAGGATTATATATTTTAAAAAAGACAGTGTTCTTCAAAGTTCTTTCTAAAATCTTCCCCTCACATCATTAAAATTATCTTTCTGTGGGCCATGATCCTCTTTCTACTGGAGGAGGGGTTGCAGAAAAGGGCACACGCACCCTGACCTACCTGCTTGGAGAAAGATTAAAAAGCAAGTCAACATAAAACAAAACAGAAAAGGAGGCAGAACTTCACATTTATGATTTGAACATGGTAAAATAACTAGCATTTTCCAAGTATACACTCTGCCCTTTCTACCATAGTTTCAGAGGATGTTAAGAAAACTACTAAAATAGCTCTGCAGGAGGAGTACCACACAGTGCTGCTGTGAATCTTAACAACACACCTCCAGTTAGTGCATCTGATTCACCCCACTGAACCATGTGAAAGGATGGAGCAACAGAGCAGTAAGTAGAAAGAAAGGTAAGGTTATGATCAGTAGCACTCACCAAAATGTGGGCCTTGTGGTTTACCTCATTTTCACAGCCTGGGGCTGGCTGAAAAAGAGTCTTGAATGGTGCATATCAAATATGTGGAGAGAGATTTGGGGGAATCCTACAAGACAATGTTGGGGAGTTGACCAGAGCTACAGGTGAATGAGAGGCATTTTGGGCTTTTATTCTAATTAACAATCCAGCATTTTTTAATTTAATCAATTCCTTTGTTAGAGCTAAAAATTGTAACACCAAAAGTTACTTAACAGTTACTTAACTTACTCAGTTTTAATAGTCAAGCACTGATAAATTGCTCTGAGATCCCCAAGGTTTCCTGCACAACAGAGGACAAAACTCTGAAAAAGCAGAATACGGAACTAGTACTGTGAAATGCGAAAGAGAATTGAAAGAGCCAAACATGGACCTTGACCAGGAAAAGATGAATCTGTTAAATTTCCATATCAGAGGCATTGGATAGAACAATTTCAAAAGTGAAAAATGTCATGCACATCACAATGTTACATAGGACTTAATCTGGATTGTCAGCATGATTTTTATTACCAACCAACCTGGTAAAAAACAAACAAACATAAAAACAATGTACAAGCCACAGAAGTAAATTCCTAATGTAGCCTTTCAATATACAGTTTCTTTCTTCCACAGATTCACAGTGAACACTAAATATCAGTGATTATAACAACCGTGAAAAAATAATGTCACTGAACAAGGGCCTGCTGCCCGAGACACAGAGGAGCCAAAATTATGATGTTGGCTTTTTAGAGAAGAGAGCTTTTCATTGCTGAGTCCACACACAGGACACCGAAGGCACTGCTAAATCTTTCCCCCTGAACTGGGGTCTGAACCAGTTTTAAGGGTTAAAGAGAACAAGGTGGCATGTGGTCGAGCTGGCTGAGCAAGTTTTGATTGGAGGGGTTGGAACTTGGCCAATTATGGTACAGAGTAGAAAGGTAAAAGAAAGCACAAAGGAATTCCAATCTAGGAGGGTCTGATTGGTCAGTTCTGAATTTGTTCATATTTTCCTTCCAGGCAGTGATCTTCCATATTGAAGGAATTTTCACTTCATAAAGGTCTCTAGTAGCCACACTTCTGTTACTTGTATTCTGTTACTTGCATATACTGAAGATTCTAGGTTCCAGGGTCAAATGGAGGATGGGGTAGCACATGCACAGTGCTGTCTCTGTAAAACAAGGATTACATTAACCACTCTGCTTTAAGGAAGTAGGACCAGCGTGCTGTTTCAACAACAGTGACTGCTAACACTTACTGGGTCTTAAATAAATGCCCAGGAACTGTGCTAATCATTTTATATGCATCAGTCCATTAGCTACATTTCTTTTGAGACCAACACTGTAACATTGTACGATGAATTTTCCTAATTCAGAAAATATACATTTTTAGATTAAATTGTATGTTTCTGCGATGGTGCTCTACTTTGTAGAAATATTGATGCTATTTCTGCTTTTAGAGTAAAACAGAAATGAAAGGAAGTGGGGGACAGGAGGAAGTCCAGTTATATTCATGCTTTGTTGGTTGCAATGCCATTATAAAGGATGATCAATTTTTCTTCCCATTTCCTTTGGTCTAATTTTTTTTAATCTAGAAAAATATCCCACTAATAGCTTTTTCTGATTGACTATTGGTGAATTAAAATAAAAATGGAACCTGACTGAAAATATATTGCTGTCCTAATTAACAAAGGTTTTGTCCAGCAACTTCGAATCAGCAAAACATATACACTACGTTAATTTTCCAGTAACAAAATTATGTGTTAGAGCATTCATGCTCTCTCATCGGCCCCCATTTTTGAGCAAGGGCTGCCAAAATGTACAAGTAGTTGATCGGGGCTGTAGTTATAGCCTGCAGCAAACAGTTGACTCCAAGTCCTGGAGGCTCATAATAACAGAAAATAAATATTTTGGAATTAGGTCTAAAGCACAATTCCCACCCTTAATTATCTTTTGTATCATCCTCAAATTATTGCAGGCAAAAACTCTGGAGCACAACTATGAAGTACCTATTGGCATTTAATAACACGTGCAAAATAGGGCACACAGGGATTCAGATAGGCAATGTAACTGCATAATTCAGTATCCCAAATTAATATGACACAATAAAAAAATTTTTTTTGATTTTTTCATTCTCACAGAGAATTCCAAAATTTTTCTGTAGGTTGTTGGTATTTTTTATTTGCTCCTAATAAAATAGAAAGCTTCAATAAAAGTGTAAACACAGACATTTGAGTTACACAGAACTGTAAAAAATTTAATGTACCTTTTAAAATGGTACTTGGGATATAACTACTTGTCATAAAACTTCTTCTTTGTGTTTCATCGTTTGCTTGCTTTATGTTCCAATATAGCACTGGCCTATTAATAATATCTTTTACCTTCTACCTCAATATTTCCTTTCTTACTTCTCACAAGGAAAATGTGTTATT